TGTGTATTTGACTGGTGTGGTAAGTGGGTGCAGGTGTCCGTGATTAGTAATCAGGTGATTGTGAGCGGGTGTAGGAGGCTGATTCGGCTGGTGAGGCAGGTGGTTCCATGACATTAACGTAATAGGGAGGTAATCCACGCAGGGGAATTAATTTGCAGGATTTGGAGAACCGGTCGACGACTACTAGGATGGTCGTGAATCTGTTCGAGGCAGGTAAGTCGTAGCGAAATCCACACCCAGGTGGGACCAGGGCCGGCGAGGGATGGGTAACGGAACCAGTTTACCTTCGGGCAGACGACGTGGCGTGGTGGAGATGGCACAGACCGAACATCCCTTGATATACCGGGCGATATCTCGGGCCATGTGGGGCCTCCAGTAGCGGTTCTGGAGGAGTGAGAGGGTTCGGTGGCTGCCTGGGTGTCCCGATCCCGGAGAGGTGTGAACGGAGTCCAGAAGGGTTATACGCAGGGTGGATGGGACATAGTTCTTCCCCTCTGGACCTCCCGGCGGAGCGGGTTCGGTGAGAGTGGCTGCACGGATCTGGTCATTGAGTGCCCACTGAATGGGAGACATGAAGACGGAAGGTGGCAGGATGGGCTCTGGTTCTTCGGGGGTAGGATCTGGCTGGTGTTGGTGGGAAAGCGCGTCCGCTCGGACATTCTTAGTCCCTGGACGGTAAGTGACCACAAAGTGGAAGCGGGTAAAGAACAGAGCCCAGCAGGCATGCCTCGGGTTAAGACGCTTGGCCTCTCGGAGGTATTGTAAGTTCTTATGGTCTGTGATCACCTCAAACGAATGCTTGGCACCCTCCAACCAATAACGCCACTCTTCCAGAGCGAGCTTGATGGCCAGCAACTCCCGATTTCCCATGTCAGGTAAGTGGTGCCGCCAACTGGCTGAAGTGGGCGATAAAGCGGTGATAGAAATTTGCGAATCCCAAGAATCTCTGCATCTCCTTGATGGTGGTCGGTTGGGGCCAGTTCCGAACGGCATCCACCTTCCTCTGGTCCATTTGCACCCCTGCAGGGGGACGATGTAGCCCAGGAAGTGAACGGTGGATTGGTGAAACTCACATTTCTCCGCCTTTAGATACAGGCGGTGTTGGCGGAGGCGTTGGAGTACCTGGGTGACCTGGTTACGGTGTGCTTCGAGAGTGGGTGAGTAAATGAGTATGTTGTCTATGTAGATGCGGACGAACCGGTTGAGCATGTCTCTGAAGATCTCATTCATAAAGTTTTGGAATATGGAGGGTGAGTTGGAAAGCCCATAGGGCATGATCCGGTACTCATAGTGCCTGGTGGGTGTCACAAAGGCAGTTTTCCATTCATCACCCCTGCGAATGCGGATGAGATTATAGGTGCTCCTTAGATCCAGCTTGCTGAAGACGCGGCGACCAGAGGTGAGGCAGGTGTTTCCGTTACAGTATGTATGTGTGTATATATATATATATACAGTATGTGTGTGTGTATGTATGTGTGTGTGTGCTTCCTCTGGTCCATTTGCACCCCTGCAGGGTGACGATGTAGCCCAGGAAGTGAACGGTGGATTGGTGAAACTCACATTTCTCCGCCTTTAGATACAGGCGGTGTTGGCGGAGGCGTTGGAGTACCTGGGTGACCTGGTTACGGTGTGCTTCGAGAGTGGGTGAGTAAATGAGTATGTTGTCTATGTAGATGCGGACGAACCGGTTGAGCATGTCTCTGAAGATCTCATTCATAAAGTTTTGGAATATGGAGGGTGAGTTGGAAAGCCCATAGGGCATGATCCGGTACTCATAGTGCCTGGTGGGTGTCACAAAGGCAGTTTTCCATTCATCACCCCTGCGAATGCGGATGAGATTATAGGTGCTCCTTAGATCCAGCTTGCTGAAGACGCGGCGACCAGAGGTGAGGCAGGTGTTTCCGTTACAGTATGTATGTGTGTATATATAAAATATTTTATTAAGCTCATTTAAAATAACACTCCTACAGGTAGTTTCTGTAAATTTAGCAGTAATAAAAAGTGTAAACCCTAAAGAAAATTTTGGTTATTGAAATTTCTAGACTGTATTTCTGTCTCTCACAGCTTCATATTCATGCCAGTCAAATTCAATATGCTGTCTACTCTCACTAGAAATTGTGAATCGTGTGATGCCATTTTGAACAAAATCAGCCTCAAACAAACAAAGTTCGTTTGGAGTTAGAAACAGCTTCCCCAAGCTAACTTTCTGGAAAAGTTTGCATCCATTTGTTAAACACCTTTGAACTATCATTGGAAATCTTCTGAATTAATTTGTAACTAAAAGTGTAACCCCTAAAAAACATTCAGTTATTATTTTAAATTACTTGTAATTATTTAAATGAAATAGTCATAAATAATTTATAATATTTATATATATTTTTTTACATATTTTATTAAGCTAAATATCCTAAATATAATGTATAATATTTATTTAAATATTTTGTTAAGCTACATATTTTCATAAATATAATTAATAATATTTATATAAATATGTAAATATTTTATTCAGCTAATTTAAATTGCCACTCCCACAGTTTGTGTAAATTTATCGGTAATAAAAAGTGTAAACCCTGAAGAAACTTTCGTTGATAGTGCAATCACTCACTTGAATCTCTTCATAACTGGCACAGATCTGCAGAAAATTTACCATCATTTGGCGAATAATTTACAGACAGTTACATACATATGTTCTAACATTATGTAAGCTTTCTTTTGCACCTCAAATGACATGGGAATTTATAGTCATGTTAATATTAATTAGCCAGTCTGTGGATTAATTAGACACTGTTCAGGTATTTCAAACTTCTTTTTGTGAGTATATCAGGGCCTAATAAGGGTCCACGGCTTGGCTACTCTTCGTCAGGGGTGCTTGTAGAAGTATGCAGACTACGACAGTCCTATAAAATCCTATCAATGGATTCCCATCTGGTCCATTTAGGAACAGCTAAACTCCTCCGAAAAGACAAGCCAGAGTCTCTCACTGCCAAACTATCAGAGGAGCTCTCTTATTACCAGAACAATGAAAATGACGAGACCCCACCCAGACCAGACAGCAGACGGGATGAGCTGCTGACCAGGGCCTTTGGCTTTAGAAAGTAAAACAAATTCAGACAAAGTGAGATCAGGGCTTTGTTCATCATTTCAATTAAACCACCAACCCTAAGTATTAAAATGTGGTGTGTAACTCATCCCTTATCATTTGTACTACATGATGATGCCTCAAATCATGTGGCTTTAGGAGAGGTGTGCTATTGCTGTTCTTATTTTTGCCTGGCATGCAATAAAAATGGCAAAAATCCCATAGACATATCACACTACTGCTAAAAAAGTTGGGGGTTGTAAGATTTTTTTTAAATGTTTTTGAAAGAAGCCTCTTCTGCTCACCAAGGCTGCATTTATTTGATCAAAAATACAGTAAAAACTGTGAAATATTTTTACAATTTAAAATAACTATTTTCAATTTAAATATATATTTTAAAAAGTAATTTATTCCTGTGATCAAAGCTGAATTTTCAGCATCATTCCTCCAGTCTTCAGTGTCACATGATCTTTCAGAAATCATTCTAATATGCTGATCTGCTGCTCAAGAAACATTTCTGATTATTAGCAATGTCGAAAACAGTTGTGCTGCTTCAGTGCTTCATATTTTAGTGGTAACCGTGATGCATACATTTCTTCAGGATTTCTTCAGCACATTTCAGAGACCTGCCCAAGTCCACACTAATAGTGGTGCAACTAATTTGTGCAAATTTCTTTCCTGTCTGTACCCTGGTAAATCACGATAATGCACTGGCTCTAGTCTAATCCATAAAACTCTACAGAATCCACACGCAAGAGGATTAGAGCAAATCTCGACACTAATTTCCTAATTTCACGGTGCTTTAGTTAACAATATAAAAGGGAACAATGAAATGTGTGACTAGTGACAAAAGTGCAAAAATGTCTTAAAAACAGACCAAAGAGCAGACGTTTCAGCTCATGCTTTGAGCACTGAAGAAAACATGAGCTGAAACTCATGAAACTCAAAATTGAACAAAAAAGTTTTTAATTTGAACTCAGAAATTGAACTGCTGGTTGTCTGGTCAGTGGAGAACTGGCCCCCCGACTGAGCCTGGTTTCTCCCAAGGTTTTTTCTCCATTCTGTCACCGATGGAGTTTTGGTTCCTTGCCGCTGTCACCTCTGGCTTGCTTAGTTGGGGACACTTCATTTCCAGCGATATCGTTGACTTGATTGCAAATGATTGCAAAGATACTATTTAAACTGAACTGAGCTGGATGTTGACATCACTGAATTCAATGATGAACTGCCTTTAACTGAAAAATGAATGTTTACTATTGTCATTTTGCATTATTGACACACTATTTTCCTAATTAATGCTGTTCAGTTGCTTTGACACAATCTGTATTGTTAAAAGCGCTATATAAATAAAGGTGACTTGACTTGCCTCGACACGTCTGCTCTTCGGTCTGTTTTTAATACACTTTGCACTTTTTTGCACTTTTGTCACCCTGTAGATGTTAAAGTAATTTTTGTGATAGACCCTTGCCTTGGTCTAATTGCATGTCTTCCAGTGTGTGGACATTTATTGTTTTTTGGTAGATCTAATTTTTCTTGATTTATGCACCATAGAACGGACTAGTTATCTTTTTGGAGCGCATACAATATCTTTTATGATACATGTGTGACTAGTTCCTTTTCATGGTTTAACAGTTGCACAAAAAAAAATACATGGACCTTCATGTTAAAGTTTAAGAACCCTCTAATCTATAATCTGGACACATTTACACAATGGTAAAATGAATTACCTGGGGCATAAAACTCTGATAACTATGACCAACTCCATAATTAGGAATTAACTGTCCAAAAAAGGCCTCAAAATGATCATAAATACAGATTTCTGTCATCAACGCTCACAGACACATGCTTAATACAAGGGCATTTGTATCATTTTCAGTAAATACTGTGATTTTATATCACGTGTCATTTAAAGAAGACTTACGATACAGGCATCCGGCCTCCCTGTTGAGCTGTGACCATCCTGGGCAGCACTTGTAAACCGTCTGGTGTTCCTGTCGATACACCTGTCTGTATGCAGTGTAGTAAGCTGTTCTGTGGGGGAAATAAGTGGAAAAAGGGAGAAATCTTTAGCATCTTTCTATGTTTTTAATATCAAGGGTGTAGGTTTGATTTTGGCATTGGTGGGTACACAACGGGAGACAACAGAGATTTAATTGTTTGATCAAAATTATTGCTAGGGACAATTTAGTTGTTGCTGGATATTGGTAGAGACAGGTCATAGCACCTCTACTAAACTCTATACCCTTGAAAATCAAAACAAGTGATGTTCGACTTTAGAAACTATAGTTCTCTCCTTAAATATGAAGAGGTCAAACAACAGATTAATGAGTTACTCCAAATTTCACTAAAAGCTTATGGACGTAATTATAATATAAGTCTGACGTTGAAGTGAGTTGCTGTTTTTGTCTCTTCTGAAGAAGATTCATTCACTTGTTTGCCATCAATGCACCACACTGAGAAACTTTGCTCAGATTTTTTGATAACATTGTGCATTATGATATAATTCACTATATTTGAAATAGTTTGAAATCAGTTGAAAGCATCCAGTCATCTCATACCATTAAAGTGAATGTTAAATTTATCATACATTTTAAATTTGCATATAAATTATAACATCTTTCCAGTCTTTACTTTCAGCAGGTTTGACCAATAGCATGCAGGCATTGTACATAAATTATCAAAATTTGGCATTTATCATATATATATATACAATTTATTAAACAGCTCTCTGAAATGCTTGAATCTCCTGATTAATGACCGTTGTCAGTAGTTCATTAGATTTAGAAGTTAATGAAAAAACAGCAATTTGCTATTTTTTTAAGTGTTGGTTACATCTAAAAATAGATAGTAATTGAATTTAATAGTTTGTTAATTGTAACATTTAATATTATAGTTATGTGCAAGCAATAGGGCTGCCGATAGTTTACAACATTAGCTGAGGTAGATTTTTATCCTTAACGCTGCAGTCCATAACTTTTTTTGGTTAAAAATGATCCGAAATCAATATTTGAGCAAGTACATAACCAGCCATTGTTCAAAACTATCGCCTTACTTTAGCCCGATTCACAACGGTTAGCTTATAATAATGTTTTCTCATTTGAGTGGTATGGGTAGGTTTTCGCGGGAAATTCAAGCATGGCACTGCGTCATTACGTCACATCTGTAAACGTTTTTTCCTCAGTTGGTCAGAACAAACGTGGCAGGCTTGTTACTTGCTTGTTCAGATGACAATATACGGTGGAGCCGCGCCGACTCACAACCAACACAAGCTAGATAATTCTAGCTGCTGCAATTCCAGGTTTTCAAACAGAGATGGCGACAAAGAGGCAAAACTTACGAACTGCGGCTTTAAGAAAAATTTTATTATAATTACATTTATTTAAAGAGAGTAATTTGTTCAATAAACCACTGTTTAATAAAAGAAAAGAAAAAGGAAGGCACCCCTGTCTTAATCTTGCACAAAAAAAGTATATTGAACAGCACAAAGGTATTTGTTGTATATGCACCATAAAAGAAACCAGTCTATTGTTAAAAAGAAAGAAAGAAAATGAAGACTATGCATGTAAACATGGTTTTTAATTTGTTTTTCCATTTAGCCAACAGGTAAAGATTAAGACCTGTAAACTTTCTTTATGAGTACACATGTAAGTCTGTCATCAGCTGCTTTTAGCATTTATCCTTGTTCTCTCTGTGAGCTATTAAAGGTCTTTCAGTGTGTGTGTGGTTAGTCAGTGACTGAGAGATCAGGCCATAATGTTTGTGGATGAGCTCCGACGTGTGAAAACACAAACACATGAGCCTATGATCAGCGGCGCTTCTCTCTTATCCACCCTTTAATGATGCTTTCTGTGAACGTGAGATCCAGAGTTTCCCGCTCCCTGTAGTTTACAGTCCTGCATTTCGGCACCAGAGTTGTAACCCTGTGCCCTTTGTTTATAGCACCTAATTGCAGGGCCCAGGTCTCTCACATGCTAAGTATACGGAGGAAAACGAGCCAGTCCGAGGGGAGGGGTGTCACAGCGTGAGCACAGGGCGTTTGCCTTCTATCTTGTAGGTATGCAAGACCCTCTGGAGATGCCTGTCAAATTGCTACTTTCATCAAGAGTGTAACTACACCTTACACTTAAAAGAGTCTGATTAGAGATCAAAGGTAATGCATGAGAACAAAATAGCCTTTTTGTTTCAGAAGGGTCATGCTTCGCCACTGCTATTGCATATTTAGGGATAGGGATTGGAATAAAAGCATACTGCACAGCATATAGTGTATACTGCATACTATTTTTTAAAGTATGTGAAATAGTATGCAACAAATTGAAACAATGCTACGCTACACTGTTGCCACATAACATTAGGGATAAGGATTTGAACAAATGCATACTGCACAGCATCTAGTGTACACTGCATACTATTTTTGTAAGTATGTGAAACAGCATGCAACAATAAACATTTAAAACAATGCTATGCTACGGTCTCTCACATGCTAAGTATACGGAGGAAAACGAGCCAGTCCGAGGGGAGGGGTGTCACAGCGTGAGCACAGGGCGTTTGCCTTCTATCTTGTAGGTATGCAAGACCCTCTGGAGATGCCTGTCAAATTGCTACTTTCATCAAGAGTGTAACTACACCTTACACTTAAAAGAGTCTGATTAGAGAACAAAGGTAATGCATGAGAACAAAATAGCCTTTTTGTTTCAGAAGGGTCATGCTTGGCCACTGCTATTGCATATTTAGGGATAGGGATTGGAACAAAAGCATACTGCACAGCATATAGTGTATACTGCATACTATTTTTTAAAGTATGTGAAATAGTATGCAACAAATTGAAACAATGCTATGCTACACTGTTGCCACATAACATTAGGGATAAGGATTTGAACAAATGCATACTGCACAGCATATAGTGTACACTGCATACTATTTTTGTAAGTATGTGAAACAGCATGCAACAATAAACATTTAAAACAATGCTATGCTACACTGTTGCCTCATGACATTAGGTACAAGGATTTGAACAAATACATACTGCAAAGCATATAGTGTATACTGCATACTATTTTTAAAGTATGTGAAACAGTATGCAACAATAAACATTTCTAAAGTACTACACTGTTGCAGCATAACATTAGGAATAAGGATTTGAACAAATGCATAATGATCGGCATATAGTGTATGCTACATACTATTTTTTTAAATATATTAAATAGTGTGCAAAAATAAACATTTGAAACAGTACTACAGTGCATTGTTGCTCCATAACATTAGGAATAAGGATTTAAACAAATGCATAATGATCGGCATATAGTGTATGCTACATACTATTTTTTTAAATATATTAAATAGTGTGCAAAAATAAACATTTGAAACAGTACTACAGTACATTGTTGCTGCATAACATTAGAGATAAGGATTTGAAAAAATGCATACGGCAAAGCATATAATGTGTACTGCATACTATTTTTAAAGTATGTGAAACAGTATGCAACAATAAACATTTCTAAAGTTCTACACTGTTGCCGCATAATATTAGGAATAATGATTTGAACAAATGCATAATGATCAGCATATAGATCAGCATATAGTGTATACTACATACTATTTTTTTTTATATTCTGAATAGATTACATTTAGGTGGAAAATGTGCATACTACACAAAATATGCATGCTATATCCTGTAGAAATAGTACAAGTAGCAGATGATTTTCACTTATCAGACTTTAAGTTTACTTACAGTGTACTCAGAGTTTATGGTGTGTGAATATCAGACCCACCTCCTCTCGTAGCCCACGCACCACGACTGTCCCTGGCATCCCTGTTTCCAGGCTTTAACCATCCGCGTGAAGGCCTGGACGCATGGCTGCATCTGAGCCACGAGCTTCACCTCCTGCTCAGCACACACATTTGGCCTGGAGATAAAACACACACACTTCAGTTAACCTGCAGATTCAGAAGAACCTACAACATTTTGACATTTTGGTTACAAGCCTAGATATTAAACCACTAGGTCACAACACTCCAAACATAAAGGATCATAAACGTTTATCATTTAGTCAGTTGGAATTTCTAATAGTCCTTCAATGTAATTTTAATAAACGCGAATGAATTTGACAGCAGGACAAGTTGTAAGACTGTCAATCACTTAGACATTCCAAGTCAAATTGTGCAATAGAGAACATTAAAATAAGTAAAAATGTATCACCTTAATCATCTCTGCACTAACAGATGACAAGATACACATGATTTACACAGCTTAAGTTCCCAAACTGATATATTAGTCACTCTGTAAAAATGTTCAATCAGTTCACAGTGAACCTCCAGGCGATTATTGTCATGTCTGGGATCATTGGCACTACATTATATTGCCAAGAAGTGAAACTGTGCTTTGTCTGTGTTATTTCTGTTGATCACGCATTTCTGTTAACCACTGAAAACGTTATTTCTGAATGTTCTTAGGACATTCAAAACATCCAGTGTTTTTTCTTCGTTATGCACATTAAGATAATGTTTCATTTGATCATTTTGCAAACATTATGTGAACATTCATTTTGAATGTTCTCCAATTATTGCAAAACTTGTTGCTAAAATATGTTCTAAAAATTGTTTGCTAACGTTCCCATTACGATATAAAACATTATTTTATTATTTCTAAAAACATTTTTTTATTGGTTATGCAAACGTTAAGGGAGCATTCCATTTGATCATTCTGAACTGTGGGAACACTGTGGGAATGTTCATTTAGAATGTTCTCTAAACATTCTGACACAAGAAGGAACATTAAAAAAAGTCACATGAACATCCAACTAAAACTACTTTTCAGGAAAAAAACTTTCCATGAATGATGCATAAATAACGTTTTTGTGTTCATGTTTTAAGTAAACTATTAAAGACCAGATAACTTTGAACAAACGTTCCATTAACGTTACTAGAAGAACGTTTGTTCCTAACTTTGAAATAACATTTTCAGAACGTTAGCCAAAGTTCTGAGAATGTTAGCTGGGAAGTAATAATGTTTAAAAAGTTTCAGAAGAAATACGTTCTGTGAATGATGTATAACTAACGTTTTTGTTATTAAAACTGTATTAAATTGATCTATTTAAGTTACTGAACCTTTCCAGAACGCCAGTCAGTTCCCTCAACCAGCGTCTCACAAATTCATCAATAAATCCGCGTAAATGCGCGTCAAAGCCAATTTCCAAAATTAATACAAATTTTGTAGTTTGCATTATTTAAATAACTTAGCAAATGTTAAATATGAGCACGAACATAAGACGTAAATGCGTTCATTTAATACATTATTTATTGTGATATTCAAAGCTAACGAGTAATAATAATCGAGAAGCGCGCACAATATCAAAGCCAAGAGTTACTCACATGTGCGGCATCAGGTTTTTTCCAGAACGGGATGCTGCATTAATTCCATGAATTAGTATGATTAAAGAGTAAAATAACATATCCATCCTCATACGCTGTTCTGAAAGAGTCCTGCGCCTAAATATCACACTTAAGGGGTTAAAACAAACTCATCTGAGTCCATATTAACGCGCGTGGAGAGAGGACTGAGAGCGCAGCAGTAGATGACAGGAGGGAAAATGCTCTCAGATCCACCTCAGACACCAACTGAGATCCAAATGCCCTCCAAACACTCTGTCTTCCTGTAGCAGCAGTGAAGGGAATGTCCTTTGAGAGGAACCAGACAAATACAGAAGCAGCTGAAGAGCTAACTGACTACAAATGAGAGTAAAGCTGGTTACTTCAGCCTGATTTACTGCATCACTTCAAAGGGCCTAATTCAAAGGAAAACACTTTATTAGACAGATTTCAGTGTCAAATGAAGGTCTGAGAGCACATATAAAAAACATCATTGTTTATTTATTATTATTTAAACCTGCAAATAAAGTTATAAATAATATAAATAATAGTTATAAATAAAGAAAATAATAATATAAATAAATAATCAAATGTTTCTCTGGACGTTCTGAAACAACATTTAAAAAACGTTCAATGAACGATGCATAAACAACATGCTAACTTTTTGTAACGTTAACGAATGTTTTATGAATGTTACTGGAAGAACGTTTCTTCATAACTTTGAGAGAACCTTACCAGAATGTTAGCCAAATAACAAAAAAAAGTAATAAATTAAATTTTAAAAATAAACTTAATACAATTATAATAAAATCTATAAAATTGTTATAGTAAAAGACATATTTTATTATATAATTTATTATATTTAATAATATAATATATATTTATAATATTTAAGTACTATTTTTATTTTATAAAATCATTTTGTTTTAATTATTTAAAGGCGTCCTATGATGCGATTT